GATGAGTGGACTTCAACTCCCAGAATTCCCCAGCCAGCCATGGGAGTTGAAGTCCACTCATCTTAAAGTGGCCAAGTTTGGACAACACTGCTATAGATGCAGCTTCTGAACCTGGAAACAGCATGTGTTCCTTGCTGGTAGCTGCAGTCTCCATGACTTTGCCAATCTCCTTTTAAAGATGGGTTTAACCGCCCCCCCCACCAGAAAATACTGTTGGTTTAGTATTGGGACACTTGCTGTAACTGTGCTCCGTCCTTCAGGAGATTGATGCTGTAATGATGCAACAATCATTGGATCGCTTCCAATACTCAACTTTATGCTTTTTTTTTTCTTGCCACTAGTTTAGCTAACAATGAGCATAATGCCCTGGCCAAAGATGTAAAATTCTTCCATTCATATTTCTAAGACAGTGCAGCACCCTTTTACCAGCAGAAAGGAAGGAAGCAAGGGGAAGGCTCAAAGATCAGTAACCTGAATTTTCCGTCTGTTTTCTTCGTGGTCCGAGAGAGATGGCAAGGCTCACTTCTTAAGAGTAAGTCAAGCAGAAGGGTGCAGACAGTACTTCATGCTTATTGTCCAGCCACACTTGGAACAATTTTAAGTCACGGAGGTGAAAGATACCAATCTTCCATTATACGCATTCCAGATAAAGCTTTTACTACAACTCTCCTTTCTGTGGGCTCAGCCAAGATGTCAGCTTTTCTGTCATTTGAAAACATACCTCCGATAAAAATGCAACCTGCTGTTTTGACTAAGGAAAAAGCAGGCATGAAGTAGACTACATTTTCTTTTCCCTCTTTATAATCACTATATTTTGGGACATGTCGAAAAAAGATATATGGATATAAGATTTCAAAAAAGTACCAGGTTGGAAAAACTCAATCCGTGCTACCTTTCTATCATAAATGCCATTTGGTGAATTAACAGTATCAAACGAAGCTGTCACATCACTTCTCTCCAGTGATACCTGTCAGTTTCTCCCCATGCCCTTTTTCATGCTAATGTCATCCCACAGGCCTCAAAATAAAGCTGGTGGTTTCCACTAGGACCCAAAAGTTTCTGCCTGCAGAGAACTTTTCAATCTCCCTGATATTGCCTCTTTTGCTGCTGGCCCTTTCCTGCTGCTCCTGAAGGTCAGGGAAATCTGGGGAGCGGCAGTTCATGTGAATTTGGACTGGTTCCTGCTTCTCAGCCAGCAGGAAAAAGAGTGGGACAACCACTCCCAGAAAGGAAACAGCTTGGTCTCTCCTTAGCCTCTTTTTGCCTGACTACACCACAGGTGGTCCTTGTTTACCAACCACTCATTCAGAGACTGTTCAAAGTTGTGACGGCACTGAACAAATGCTACTTATGACTGGTCCTTGAAGTTTTGGCTGTTGCAGTGCCCCTGCAGTTACGTGATTGCGATTCAGGCGCTTGACAACCAGCTTACACTTACGATGGTTGTAGCCATTTGCAACCTTCCCTGCCAGCTTCCCACAAGCAAAGTCAATGGGGAAACTGGCAGGGAAGGTCACAAGTTGCTCTGGTAAGTCCCCCCTCCTCAGCCTTCCTGCACATGGACTGGTGCCCTCCTTCCCTCAGCCTCCCGGTGCTCGTGCCAGGCCCCACTTAACCCCCTGTGCGTTTTGGGGTTATGATGGCAACCAAGACTGCCTGGATTGCCACCACTAAGTGATGCGGTCATGTACGTTGTGCTTTACAACTGCAATCTTAGTCCAATTGCCATCGTAACCCAAGGACTACTTGTAAAGGGATTTAACTGGCTAGTACTGATGGCTGATTACAAGTTTCTTTTAAAGAAAATGTTAGGTGTTTCTCTTCTCTACATCAATGGGTACAGCTCAATTTCTGTCAAAACTTCAAAAGGCCAGAACTTATTTGTATATATCAAACATAACTATTCTGTACACATTATTTCAGCTAATATAGGCAACATTTTCTGTAATGGAACCACAGTGCATCACATCCACTAAATACTGTTGCAAGAAAAGATCTTTGAAAATTCTTTTCATAAAATTAAGTTGATAGTAATCCAATTAATAGGAAAGAAACACATATAGAACCAGTAGGGATTTTTCTTGAGGGGGGAATTCAATGTTACTCATTTCAAACAATCACATACTACTTTTTTGGTGATAAGCAATCTCAAAACAGTTCATAGCATTACTGAAACAAAACTACAACCATATAACAGGGCAGTGGTAAAACTAAGATTAGCTTTAAAAACAAAATATTGAAAAAAAATGCTCCAAGGAAAATACACAGAATTTCTTGACCTTAATGATTAGAAAAAATATATTTCAAAAGCTAGTGTCTCTGGAAGTCCCAATGTGAGGCAAACCATCCAAGGAAACTCTCTGTTCTTAATCTTCTGGCTCTTCTTTAATTTTCTTCTTTTTCTTCTTTTCTATATTCTGAAAAGCAAGCATTGCTACATCATCTCATTGTGCTACATGAAATATATAATATCTATACGTATCTATAAAATTTGTAGATAGTATTTGAAAAAAAAATACAAAGGTTTTTTCCCCTCCCTTCTAAGGAAGAGACACATAGCACTTCATGGTCTGATTTTGTTTCTATCAGTTAATATCTTTAGATAGAGAAGCTTACAGAACTGCAGGAACCCTAATGAAATGAGTCAATGGAACTCTGCAAGAGAGTATAAAAGCTTTTTATCTCCAAGCATCTTAGTGAAACAAAGTCCTTCTTCCTCAGCTTAGGCGGAGGCTATCAGACTTAGAAAGACTGGGTACTTTGGGATTTTAAATGGAGAGAACATAGCCTCAGATCAGATGTGGAGCCCTGCTGAATTTCAGCGTATTAGTGGAGGAAAGGAAACTAATCAGGATTCCCTTAGTCACAGTGAGTGAAAGGCTCAGTGCCAAATCTGGGTCCCATGGTGAAGCCCAGAAAACGTACCACACAGATCTCTTCCCCAGCAGTGGTCTGGGATTGGATTTGAGAGATGTGCGACTTATCCATTTTTGAAAAGGCAATTTTTTTCTATTGATCAAAAAATGATTCAGTCTGTTTTTCTGTAGCATAGCTTTTATATTTTATAATGGTAGACAAGCATTATTTTTTCCCCTAAATCAGATTTACCCGTGAATCAAACATATGAACTTCTAATGAGTCTACATTTAGCCAAACAAGGATGTAGGGGCTTTTTTTTTGACTCAGGCCTGGTGCATATATGAATACTAAAGATAGCTTTGCTAAGGCAGCCTTCTCCAAGCTAAGTCCAGCCAGATTTGTTACACCAGAAAATCTACAGCCCCAGTCAGCACCACTAACGCTCAAGGTGTACAGCAGATACAGCAAACACTTCTGGAGGGCCGCAAGCTGGGAAAGGCTATTCTGAGGTGTCCTACCTCCACCACCATACTGGTCGATGGTTCCTCTTCATTATCTTCTACCCAAACTGCTGTCTCTTGGGTTTTCTGTTTTTTCTTTTTCTTTTTCTTTTCTTTAACAAGCTCCTCCTCTTGCTGAACTTGCTCATCCTCCTCATCCTCCTCTCCTTCTTCTTCTGTGTCACCCAGAAAAAAAAAGCAAATACAATAACAAGTTAAAGAAAGCAGAAATGCCCAGAGTTAGCCAAAGTTGCTAGTGGGCACTTTTGAAAATTTGGAGCATGCTGTTGGCACTGATATGAATGGTTATGAATTATCACAAACCCAGATACTGGAAAACAAGCTGGTAGAGATGTTTTCTGCAACTTCATCTAGCTCTTTAGACACACCCTGCTCTATCACTCTGCAGGCATTTTCTGTCTGCCTAGGTGAACACGTTTCCAATTAAGCACCTTCAGCAGCCACCCATTGCTATTTTCTATGAATGCCCTCAGGGAGGCAGGGAACTGGGTGAGTAGACATTGCACAGAAGGTTCCAGACCTACAGTTTTTACACTCATGCAACTCAACTGGAAGAAGTCATTAAGGAATGTTTCAGACTGGCCATGATATGAATTATAATACATCTGAAAGACATCACATTAAGGAACGTCTGGTGCTATCATGCACCATCATACAATGTATAAATTATTCCTAAAGAGAATGCGCTTCCCCTTTGAATGATTCTAGGTAAAGAAAAAGTACTTTTAATACCGAAAACATTAAACTAAACATCCTGTCAAAAAGGATATTAGAACTAGCTGACAAAATCTAAATAAGAAAGCCTTATAGCATTTCTTGCTGGAGTCTGAACTTTGGAAGTCCTTCAAGAGAGGTAGAATCTTTTGACTTCCATTGTGGAGATGGGAGTAGAAGGGATGGGGAGCTCACTGCTTATTCCAATCTCTGACCTGGAAACTTTAACCCAGAGGTGTGACTGGCTAGGTGTGTATGAAATTCACCCAAAGCAAGACAAAGTTCTTCTGCTGCAAAGGTTCTGTAAGGAAGGAGCAATAGGGCTGAGAAGAGCAGCATCTGCTGGATTTTCTTCTCTTGTAGTCATTAAAAGGCCCAGAAGCCTCTCCTTCTTAGCCATGGCCTACACTTATCCATCTCGGAGTGTTGGTCCAGGTAACACTGCTACAATGAAAGGACTTTATATTCCTGCTTGCCCAGATGTCCTGATCCACCAAGCTTACCCTCATTAGTACATCTGCAGCTTTCAAATGTACCAGTACAATAATCATCCAATCTTCATTTCCACTCATAATGAAGTGGAAGATGATATGGTGGAAACATGTTATAGGAAATGTAGATGTTATGGAGTAGGACAGAGATAAGGAAAATGTGATGCTCCAGCTGTTGGAATGCAACTCTCATCATGCTACCTAAGACTACTGGGAGCTAACCTTCAACATCTGGACAACTAAACACTGCTCAATCCATTTGTAAGGTAATGTAAGTCACGTGTTTTCTATGTCCTAGTTCATCAATGTGTCTCTACACTAATGTCACGCAGAATCCATCCACAGTCCCCAAATTAAACTAGCAAAGTATTTATGAGATGAACACAATTCCCAGGCTGCAAAATAAAGCTTGGCTAATAAGCTTTGCCAGAAAAAAATACAGAAAGGCAGCTCCTGTTTTTTTCTTCTGGAGATGCTCAGCTAGGTACTTAAGATTCAGGGCACAAGACCCAGAAGACCACCCTGAGATTAATTAGGTATGTTAATATTCTGCTGAAGGACTAAAAAGCTTAAGAATGCTAATGTGCTGGTCTGCACGTATAAGTGTTATGGCTACTACGGGGAAGGCTTCCTTATTCACAGACCATTATGATGCTGGATGTGGCCAAATCACAAAACACCAATTTACCAGAAGGCAAATTCATACAATTGTGTCCCATCTCGTTCTATACCCTCCCTAGCAATTGACCTTAGTCTTTTTTTTTTCTGGGCAGATAAGGAGAGTTCGAAATAATATTCTGGACTGCAGCTACCCACCATTTTTACTTTCTAAGAATGTCTATAGAGCTATATCTTTAGTTTGCAGTGTGTCAGCTTTCCATTTATTTACCTGTACAGGTAGTTCTCACTTAACAACCACAATTGGGACCAGAATTTAGGTTACTAAGTGATGTCATCATTAAGCGAGATGTCACACGACCGTTTTGCTTAGTGACTGCAATCCTGGCGCTCCCTCTCATGTGATCATTTGCAATCTTCCTTGCCGGCTTCCCCAAAAAGTCAATGGGGAAGCTGGCAGGGAAGGTCGCAAGCCACTGCCACCTGCCAAGAGAACTCCCTCTCGTCTCTGGGGGCTGGCTGAAAAAGCGCCAAGCAGGACTTTGTCATGGGGCATTTTCAGCCAGCCTCCAGAGTTAAAATGACTCCCTCTTTTCTCTGGGGGCTGGCTGAAAAAGCTTCATCCTGAGTCCTCAACTGTGGAGGCTGGGATTTGGGCACGGAGCTTTTTCAGCCAGCCCCCAGAGACGAGAGTGAGTCCCCGTGGCAGTGGCTCATGACCTTCCCTTGGATTTCAGCATGGAGGGAAGCCTCTCAACTCTGGGGCTGGCTGAAAACTCCCCATGCCAAAATCCTGCTTGGATTTCAGCACAGAGCTCTTTCAGCCAGGCTCCAGGGATGAGAGGGAGTCCTCTCAGCAGCTGGCAGCAGCTTGCAACCTTCCCTGCTGGCTTCCCCACTGACTTTCTGGAGAAGCCAGCAAGGAAGATTGCAAATGGTGATCACATGATCACTGGGTGCTTGGCAACTGACTGCAATCCCGTCATTGCGGGGGCACTGCAACAGCCGTAACTTCGGGCATGGGTCGTAAGTCCCTTTGTTCAGCACCGTCATAAATTTGAACGGTTGCTGAACTAGAGGTTGTTAAGCAAGGACTACCTGTAATTAAAGGAATCCAAGAAAATGTCAGGTGGAGCAGGTAGCCTGGCATGAAAAGTAGCATCTGTAAATACCAAACTACCTTCTTTTAAAATATATTTTAATGCTTTAAAAATACATTGATCCCAGGACTTTTTAACATGTCATGGAAGTAAATTTCATCAGTTAATTATCCACAGGTGGGAAAAAAATGGGATAAAGTACACTAGGATTTGAAGTAGGCCTAGAAACGGAAAGCAAGTAAAACAAAACTGCAAAGGGGAATGAGGAGGGACTCTGCACTATGGGAAAGAAGTTGTTGAAAAAAGATGCAAGGTTGTCCCTTTTCTCTGGACTTCCAACTAGCAGATTTCCACCATACGAAAAAAGAGCTCCAGGTACCTGCAAGCTGGCACTGGGATCTATTCAGAGTCTAGGTCCTAATAGCCCATAACAAGCCCCCAGGCCACTATCATTGTTCAGATTGAAATGAAGACAAAACCACTTGCATCCAACCCTGTGTCTGCTGTCAAAATGCTATTTGATCCATTGAAAGGTTCCATCATCAGATTTCGAGCAACTGCCCTTACCATGCTATTCCAAAAAAATCTTCCAAACAGCAGACAGAATTCTATATACAGGAGGCATCAGTGAAAACCACCTCTTCCTTATTCAGCTCTGAGAGTTTAAACAGCTTTCCAGCAAGAGAAAATCTTAGCTGGATACAAGTCAGGATGCAAGTGAAAAAAATGATCCTACACAGAGAACATTGAGTCCTGTTCTACTATTGCGGCTCTTAAGATGAATGGGAAACTAAGTATTCATTTAAACCCTAAGGAGACTGTGTCTGTAGTAATAAATGGAAACTCTTCTTGCTCTCTAACATCCTACATTCTCCTATACATTTGTATCTGGTCTAGAGGGACACCTCCCCCCCGCTAAAAATACTGTGGAGATTTTGAGGTAGAAAAAAGGCCTACTCTACCAGCAAATGCAATTCAGCAAATAAGCACACCTGTATTTAACCATACAAAATCCTTTTAGAGATTCAAATGGATCGCCATTCAACTTCATCAAACCAACCTTTGATTTCTACTATTTTAGCCTTCTTTGCTTTTTGTGGAACTGCCTGTTCTTCTTCATCCTCTTCCCGTTCCTTGCGCTTCTTTGGGACCAGAGGGAGCGTAGATTCTCCAGAAGGATCGTAGGTCTTCACTTCGCTGGAATGTTTAAAGGAGTATAAGCAAATTGTAAATGTGTGGAAAAAGAGCAACAAGTATTTTAAATACAATGGTTGGGGGGGAAAAGGAGGTCATACTGAGTGTCCCCCTTCCTCAAGTGTCTATGAAGTTACCACTGAGCAATTTATATGGTTGGCTTTTTAGGAAACAAGGGAGCAAAGCAATTCCTGCCAAAAGGATGCTTATATTACATGAGATAGGTGGCCTCTAATGTTCAGTTCAAAACTCTTCCATACATCAATCTCTGGTGAGATAAAACTACAATCTCACAGCTAGTACAATTCCAGGCCAGCAGGCTCTTAAATATGCAAAATGTTCAAAAGAACTGCATCACAAAACCTGGTAGCACAAATGAAGCACCCCTCTTGGAAGCATTAAAGCAACCATGTCCTTTGCAAAGCTTTCAGCAACTACTGTGAAGACCATTCCTTCCCATGCACGAGTAGCCACTTTGCATAAGTGAGGGACAGACTCCAAAGCAGCCTTCTGAGCTTGGCATAGTATGTAGACATTTACCACTTTAAAGAAAGATGCTTCACTTGACCTTTTGAGCTTTGTGAAACACCTCTTTCAGATGCTTTGCGCAGTCCTACCACAGGCAGCTGCAGTGGCAGAAATGCAGAGAGAAATATTAGCAGAGTTGGGATTGGCACATCAATATCCACTGCCAATTTGATGTTCACTACAGTTAGAGAAGGGATTGCAAGCACAACAATTAATGGATATACTGTGTATAATGTAGCTTGTACTTATATTGTCTCATATGATCACAATGTGAAGAGATCATATATGGTGGTGGGAACTGTCCTGCTTGAGCTGCTGCAAATCAGGGATGGGGCAACGTTTTGGTGTTGGAGAATGCATCTGTTAAACCCGGGGGGGGGGCCAGAGGACATGACAATGGCACAATAATATCACCAGAGGAGGCAAGGTTAAATTTTTCAGCTCCTTTCATCTCACTCTTTGGGAGAGTGCATAGTTAAGTTCAACAGGTAGCTTAAGTCTATCAGAGGCTCAGCATATCTATTATTTTTGCCCCCAAATCAGAAAACTGCTCCACTATTATTCTGCAATTTCCAATGTTTGGCAACATAATCTTGGATTCTGTGGACTGCATTTGTCTCAAAGTTGGCTCCTTACGACTGCTCTGGATCTTGTTCAGGGACCCAGTATAGATCCATGAAGTATGCCAACTCTTCCCATCGTGAGGCCCTCCAGATACTCACTGGGAATTCTTGGAATTATAGTTCAACGTATCTGGAGGACCCCAGGAAGAGAAAGCCCAGACTAAAGTTAGGGATATCACCCGTATGAAAATATATAGGACTATACAATCAAAAAAGAGGTTTATAAAT